TGCGAATGTGTTGGTATTCATTTGACCCACGCCATTGACAACAAGCGTGGTATTAAGTTTGTGATTTTCCAAGTGACATTTTCAGATAATATACTCTTCAAAAAGAGAAAAGCAAAGCCAGATTAGTGTGAGGTAGGAAAATACATTTATACGAGGAACTGTACAAGGTTAAGCCAAAATATTGTGGAGAGAACACTTGGTGATCGTAGTCATCTCAGTTATCGGCATATAGGAACAGTCCAAAGTGAAGGTCAGGTATCATCAATAACGCGTACGTCCCCCGTTGGAATCGAGGGCGGCCAACTGCTGCAACGTCTTTGGTTGTGGTTGACGCCGTCTATACATTTCATCCTACAGGTGCTCTGTCGGGCTCAAAACCGGGGATTTGGAGGGCCAGGGGAGAACATCAACGTTGTTGTTTTTGTAGACAGGCTCGTGTGACCCGTGCTGTATGCGGTCGAGCGTTGTCCTGCTGGAATACACGTTGGCTGCAATTGGGAGGACGTGTGGTTGGGGAATTTCGTTGATGTATCTTTGAGCCGTAAGATTGCCCTGGATATGGACCAAACCTGTCCTGCCATGATGGGAGATAACCACCCCCACGAAACCTGTCCACTTCCTGTACGCAGTATCAAGCTTAACGTTCTTCCCGACGTATGTAGACCCGTCCTCATCCATCCCCTCAACGGTGGAGAAATCTTGATTCGTCGCTGAACCAGACTTCTCTCCATCGCAGCTGAGACAATACCCTGTGTTGACGACGATGTTGTCGGCTCAATTTGACGCGTCGAGCATGACATCTTGCTCGTAGACCTGCTGCTCTTAAACGGTTTTGTCTGGTTTGAGAGTCTGCGCACACTGGGTATTTGGGATGCTGTTGATGTGGCTGTGGTCGTCCTTTCGCGTAGGTGGCGCAGTCGGATGTAGTGATCTTGGGCGGGGTGGTTACTCTTGGTCGTCCCGGTCGGCCGGTCACATGTTGCTGTTGCAACCGATCCTATAGCCTTGTGATGGTGCTGGGCGCTACATTGAAAACTCTGGCTACAGCTGATCGGGATTCCCCTGCCTGCAAGCGGCCTATGACGGCCTGTTAATCTTGGCATGTTGTTGAACTGTCACTTATCGATTGACGCAGATGCCAGGCAATCAAAAACCCTGCTCTTTATTACCGTTCATATTGCTGCTGCACGTGCAATACGTGGCCAATGTGTTAATACACTGGGTGCGTTTTTCGGAATCGTAGGTGTTTCCCGGCTAATGTATTACATGTCCTTGTGATCATTTTGACCCGGGAAATTTGTCACTGACACTGTAACATATGAAACCTCTTCATGTTGCACATCTTGGTCCGCTAATTTTGCTTTTATGGCCACAAATATCAGTTTTGCGTTTCTTGTTTTGAAGAGTATATTAATTGTAATATCAATTTTAATTTAACTGCATGCCTAATTCTGTTTTAGCATCACACTAAGTGACCAATAATTCACACCCTCTGAATAAAGTAGTTACGCTGTATCTCAACAGAAACCCTCGTTGCTTGCGTCTAAATGTTGAATGGGTCGTAAATCAGAGGTGAAATCGTGAAATGTATCGACCTGTAATATGATGCACACCAACAGCGTGTGTCGTCCACTTCTATCGACATAGCATTTACATCTGCATCAACTTCCTAACGTCAAGCGAAACAAATGATTACAAATATCGAACGTGAACGCCAGAGAAAAAAACAGTTTCGATTATGCTTGGTTTGTTGGTTTGTTGTTTGACGCCGCACTCAGCAATATTCCAGCTATGTGACGGCGGTTTCGATTATGCAATGCCACATGGCGTAAAGGCAAAATAGAGACGAACATTATATCACTGGATCACTGGAAGTCAATGATGACACCAGCTATTAACGAAAAGGGTAAGGATGTCCTGTCTACTGAGACAAGGCGGATGGTTATTTTGACTCCTCACGATCATTATCTACAAAACATTTAGATTATAATTGAACTGATCTTTAACACCAAAGCCAAATTCTTCAGCAACCTGTATCATTAGATTTGTATCATACAAGCTCATGAAGAATTTTTCAACATTTTCCTGCTGATGTTGGTTCTGTTGTTTTACATAACGGGATTAGAATAGCTCTTCAGCAACCCATGCTTGTCGTAAAAGGCGACTACCGGGATCGACTGGTCAGGCTCGCTGACTTGGTCGATGTATGTCATCGATCCCAATTGCGTAGATCGATGCTCATGATATTAATCACTGAATTGCCTAGTCCAGACTCGATTATTTACAGACCGCCGAGTGCGGCGTTAAACAACAAACCAACCAACCAACCAACATATGAGCGTGGGATTCCTACCTTATTGAATATTCAAGAAGTATTTGTCTCCTTGTTCTTCTTGTGTACAATTTATGTTTCGCATCATCGAAGTTTAGAGATTTATAAAACAATAAAAACTCATGAGTAACTGAAAATCTTCTATATACTCTCTGTAACAGTATTAAGTCAAAGTGTGACAGATTTATAATGTAAGATAATGTACATGATTCGGATGCCTGTAGAGTATATTTGGGAGCTTTCTTGGTAGGTAAGAATATACCATTAGGAATACATATTCCATTATTCTCTTCAAACATTTGAAACTTATAACACATTTAACTACATTATTTAATTATTTAATTGGAAACGTAAGATAGGAAAACGTGTAATAGTTTTGAAAAAGTCGTGTTTCAGTGAGTGAGTGACATAAAAAAATTCAGTCACATCGGCAATATTTCAGCTAATCGTGACTTACAAAGGGTATATGTAGTAAATACATGGAAACTATAAAGACCTGTCAACAACGGACAGTAAAATAACTAGACTTATCACAGATTATGATTTAAAACTAGCGTGGAACCATAAAAATATATTACTATACAGAACAATACCTTATAAAATAGAGCTACAGATAGCCAGCAGCTGAAGGTAGATCACCATACTAGAGACCATGGGGACTTACAGTACTTGAGCTTCCTGCAAGGGCCCCAGCCAGGTGTTGGCGATTATTGTCAATTTAGCCGAATTAAAAGAACATATATTCTGCGTTTAAAAACGTGGTAGTAATAAATATACTGTGAATGACGTGTTCTTACGTACCATCTCCGGGGGACAATCCTTTTTACACTACTTCAACCCCCTTCGAGGTACAGGCACTAACAATCTTAGTTATCCAATTTATTCTACCAATATTAGAAAGTCGTGTTTCAGGCATAGCGTGTATCATTTAGATTAACACATGGTATGTTAGATGTTTTCGATTTGGTATGAAGGGCAAAACTGTAATTAATATATGTAGCTTAGTTTCGACAACAGACATCAAATTACGCATGTACATGCACTACGAAATGGTATTGTAGTCAGTCTCCAGCCAGATGTTTAGGACAGAAAGTATATTGTAGTCTTTCCCCAGTTTTTCGCTAGTTAGTTCGGAACTGCAGTGCCATATCCATCCTGTCGGCCAACGTGTTCCCACAAGGCAGATGCAAACACACGCCGGAAAAGGCTACTCAACTGTAAACGATTATATAGACAAAACAACAAAGCTTTTATGTGTATTTCAGTCTTATGGGCGAGTATGTGAGTTAAGACTCAACGTCACATCGGCAATATTTCAGCCATATCGTGACGAGAGTAAAGCAAACCATTAACAACAAATACATTTTGACAGTATAAAAACTGTCGCCGAAGGACAGTAGAAATAACTAGATCATTTAGAACTAGTTTGACCGCGTGTAAACGAATAAACTATGATTTAATAACACAATATAAAAAAAATGCCTATACATCGCCAGCAACCAAAGTTAGGCCACCATACTAAGGACCACGGGGACTTACAATACTTCTGCTACCTGCACGGTTCCCCAGCAGGATTCAGTCTTATGTAGTTCCTTTCTACAATAACATTATCCCGAAAAAATCAACAGCATAAATTCAGATTGTTTTACTTTGTTACTTTTCACTGGACTCTGATTTTAGCAGAGTTCTTATAATTATGAAAAGCATTTTACCATCAAGTCCAAGGTAATAAAGGCAAGTTGTCATAACTTCATTGGAAAAAGATATGATTTTTTCCATCCACATTCGAATCTTATCGAAAATAGAAGAATAACAACATTGAAAACCCTGCACAACTATAAACCAGAATGGGTTTTTTAACTATAAAACTATTCAAGACTAAAACCCGTTACTTGTGAGCAATGTTGCGTTTCTTATTTGACACTGTATACTTTATTTTTGTGGTTTGTTACATCACTTACATCACGACAATATTTCAATTATTCACCAGATACCAGACAAAGCAGGGCAGGCGCACCCAATAACGTGGAGTTGTTGGCTTCTTTGTAGATGTACCAGCAAGTTGCGTCATGCCAAGTCCTGCCTGTAACGAGTTACACATATCTGGGTGTTTTTTGGGTGTGACAGACACATGTGCACTCGTCTATGACTTGGTGTTATGATTCAAAGGACTAATGGAGACACTGATCCGCTGGGAATCATTGCTGGTACTATTATCAGTGGACATCTTGCGTGTCTTTGTCTCATATCTCCATATGATCTGTCTCCCTCGTAGTTGACACTGTTGCCCTTGGTTGTATTGCATGTTCTCCAAGTAGGTATGCCGTCATCTGATCGACGTATCACGCATGTGACCTGCTCCAACAATGTATTTTGGAAACACCCAGTTTCTTCATAATATAATTTGTAAACACTATTGTATGTGTTGCTTCATGATTAATGTTATTGAATTTGGTTTCAAGATTCATTGTGGCGTTAACACATTGTCAAAATCATTTACCCTATTAATCAATTGATATCAGCAAATATTTTGAGGTTATAGCTCCCACAAATTCCATCCCATGTCCAAATGTTTTTTATTGAAATTGTCGAGATCATATTACTGTTATGTTCAGGCCATGTGACACAACATTTCGGTGCTATGGAGACGGGCGTTACAAATAGGGGGACGCACTGATCTTATTCGCAGTGTATCCCCGTCCAGACGCAGAAACTGTTCTCAGGCAAACATTACAGTCATGTTTAAATTTGGCGTGATCGTGCTTCTTCTGGGTAAGTTGTTTATTTGCTTTGGTATCTAACATTCACGTCAGTTACTTAACATGTTATCAATTTGAGTTATGAATAATATAAGTGACAGTATTCAGATAAATTTTAGTGTCACCAGCAATTATAGGCAGTTTAATGACGAGCTGTGTTCGATCTTGTACATTCGATGTTCAATTTTTAACAAAATTATTTCCCAGTTGTTTTCTTTTCATACTTGAATTATAAATCGTGGCAAGCCGTGAAATTGATGTATACTTTATTTATATCGTGAATACTAGAAATCCAGTCTGATTCATAGATGTTTGGAGACGTTATATATTTGAGGAAAATTTAAATTATATACTACAAATAGTCTGTATATTGGAAAGTCGGTTGTTATATATACTGCCACCTTTAAACATTTTCAACAATGAACACTGATAGAAAATGTACCTCAACTGTTATAATATGCCTTCAATGCATGCCACAAATTGTGATTTAAACAGGGAAAGTTGACCCGACACATTGTAGTTGTATTGGTTACCACCACAAAGCAACAGTTTGAGTCACTGACAACGTGTTACCATGCTCATTTTCAGTAAACTCCAAACTGTCTTTAAGAAAACTGAAAAACAATATACAATTTACACAAATCCAACATGATCAAAAGGCACCAGTTTACCCCAAGACTGATCTGTACAACAAGTTTCATTCTAGAAGTATTCAACAGCTCTTTAGTTCCGCTCCAGAACCGAGCACTACATGTCGTCATGAAAAAACAAATAAAAGTAAACAAAGTATCCCCACAGCGTGGATCACTGTTTGTAGCAGATATTACTTGTACATGTAGGAGAAGAGTTTAACATAAGGACACAGACTTTTTTTAAAGGAACATAATCTATTCATAAATATCGATCGAGAATTGTACTATTTTCAGCAAACAACTGTTAAAGTATAGCTCCTGTTGGCTGTTCTGTGTATGCCGATTCGAGTTCATTCGTAGGAATTGTTTATTAACCATATTTTAAACAGTTGTTAGACATCCTTTCATGACTAAATTATCTGATGTGTTTCCTTCAGGTTACAGCCCTAAAGCGTTTGCAACCGACTGCACTACATGTAAAGGTACGTATGAGACTGCAAGAGATGCTTCCGGCGCCACAGCTGCAGCGAAATGCACGTAAGTCGTCAATATCTAATTGATGTCATAAACTGTCGTTCCTCTACATCACGTTTGGCTGTCTGGGTTGTGAGTAGGTAATTTACTCCAATGCACCTTATAAATTACTCTAATGTTTCTCGGATACGTTTGATAAGCAATTTATTTTTTAAACACAACATCATAATTTACAAACTTTCATTTTCTATCTTTAAAAAGAGGATATCTTATGGTAGTTAAACGACGTTATTAATGATCACATCTTTCAGTAACTGTTGAGTATTGCTGACCCATGTATCACGGCGTTTTGCGGGGGATGTTGAAACGGTCCTTTTCGTCCGTCAGGAATCGGAGCATAACTCATAATCCGTTCAAGACTTTGTTGCACTGAACTGGCTGATTTGGCTATTTACGATTTGCTTTTGTTACATGTAGCTGCTTAAGGGCAACAGGTTGGAAACCGGGTCAAATGAGAGTGTGGATCGTTTCCTAAGGGCTCAGTCACACATTCAGTATTATTATTGCCGTCCTCGATAGTGTCATTCCCGATTACAATTTGTCAAAAGTCTGATCAGGATCCAGTGATTCGTGGCGGGAAATTCACAATCAGATATTGTTCAGGAAGCGTCCCGATTCAGCCGTTTCCGGCCGAATTCGTCTGGTCTGTCCCGTTCGCAGTCCGAATCTGATACGATTTGTATATTCCCCGTGGTAAAAAACGACCGAATCTGCCCCGACTGCGTCCCGATTCTCCCGAATGCGATCCGACACAGATCAGACAGTGACCGGACATTGAAGCGACAGAGACGATTCGTATTCGGCAAGATCTGGACGCAAAGATCTGGACGCAATCTGGACTCTGGAAGAAAGAATCTGGACAAGAAACGACAATAAACAATTAATGCCCGTTCATCACGATAGCGTCCCGATCCACATACCACCGTCCAGACAACACGGGACATTGTTACGATTTTTATCCGATACAGCAGAATCTGTCACGACACAGTCACGATTGTAATCCGAGTTTCCCGACCTCTCTGGACCTTTCCCGATCCGTAAGACTCTGTTACGCACGTATACTACTTCGTTCAGACAATGATAGGACACACCAGATCATTGAGGATAGTAATCTGACTTTTTCACTTTTCGTGTCGTAGCGCTGTCTGATCTCAAACGGGAGCCATAATCGGCACTGTGTAAACCTGACCTTAGCTCACAACTCATAAAGTGTTCAACATGTCGTCGTGAAATGTTGTGTACACATCACGAATTTTTTAAGCTCTACTTTTTCCGTTGACAGGGTACAGGCGCGTTCCAGTGATATTCGTACGATTCAAAACTAGTTATAAAATAAGCTTTAAAAAGTCCCTATATCATTGGAAATCTCTTTTGCGTAACGTGTAGACGCCGCTTCATGACCACAACCTTTCCTACCTTGTGTGGAATTGACTTGTGCAGTCCTCGAATGAAATCAAACTCAATTTCATGCCAGATGGTGTTTATCACCTCGAACAACTTATCAACGCTGCTTATATCATTGACGGTGTCCTGCATGTGTGTATCCGATTGTTTTCCCTTTCACAGTGCACTCGCGAATTATCTGACCTGTCTGGAGACGTCTGCGAAGACTGACACCGGGTGTCCGCTAGCAACTGCTGATGCCGCTGCCATTGAGACTGATTATGGCGACTCTACTTGTAGTGGGGGTATGTTGACATTCTGTGATAGAATACAAACACATGCGTGTATTACGTAGAATTTATATGTCTAAAGTTTTAGTATCGCCATGAGAGGTGGCGGAAGTAGGGAGGCGATATAGGAGGGTTGAGAGATTGATATTGCCGAGATAATTTAAGTTGTCAACCTATCTCGAGGGGTATATGGTGTGCATGTGATAAACCCCGTGTGAACCTATGTAGCCCAAGCTGTCATGTCTCAGCGGCATACATGAAGTGTGTAGCCCGCTCACAGATGGAAAATAACTGCCCACTCCTTAACCAATCGGAAACCAGTATTTAATGTAAGATAATGATTTGTGTTTATAACTGTGTGTATTTTGTTGTACAGAGACGGTATTTACAGCAACCTGCAAATGTCAGAAAGAGTTCTGGAAGACGGACCAAAGTGCAAATGCTGCAGCTATTTGCAGGTAATCAATTCAAATGTCTAATAATTAAAAGCGGTAAAACCTATTCAATAATCGTCAGAATTCTCCACTCAAAGCAGAATCCATTGTACGGTTCTGACTATATCATAGAGATAAGTGTACTAATCAATATCAAATAGTGATGATGCAAGGTGTTCGCCAAAAGGTGAGCGTATACTGTCCCATCGCTGTTACCCGTCCCATCCCATGTTCCATGGACAGTTTTGGGTTATTAATTCATGACTTTTTTTTAAATGACCATTCTTCATAGTGTTTTTAAGATATATCTAGTTACAGAAGCAACTAAATGAAATGTAAATAATAGGTTCACCAGTATAATGCATTCAAAACCAAGAAACATTGACAAAATATTGTTTCATTTATTATCTCATCAAATATAGCTGGTGTCACGTTAACATTGCTTTACTTACAGTGCCGCCAAGGCTTACATACTGTGCTTGAAAGGAGAGACAGCTGTCGCCTGTGATACGTCCGCTACTCCAGCAACTCTGGCTACTGGTGTAGAAACCAGGATGACAGGTCTTGGGACAACAGACTGCGGTATGTTACAAACGAGCTAACTTTTTGGCTTGAGCCTGTGAATACATGTTACATCAGAGATCTTATAGAAATGGGAGACATATTTGTATGTAGGTATAAATATATCACACACAATAAAATCATCTATCGGTTACACCTACTTTGGTTGTCAGTCCAGATTTGAAGGGGTCATTTTACGACGATGTCGTATTGGCCATACCTGGTATATACGTGATATGCATTTAAAGGTGAGGATCCCTAGTTTGTATCTCTTGTGCTGGGAGAACCCCCAAAGGATCAGTATATAATATTTGTTCTCATTTAATGATTGTTGTTTCAAAAGAAATAGAGCTGATTAATACATTTTATAAATTGGAAGACAGATTTTGGCAGAGGTTGTTAGTTGTTCAAGAGATGTTTTATTTTGTTTTATTATGTGTGGTAATATCCTTTTTATGTTAAATGCTAGTTTTGCAAATAAGTCTGTGATAGTCTAGATGTTTTGATGTCCTTCGTTGGCAGGTTTTAATATTGTATATATATATATATATATATATATATATATATATATATATATATATTGATGTAAGGGCGATAACTCTCATTCTGGAAGCTCTGGTGTTGTTATGATAGCGCGTGAATTGTATCGGTAAAGTTGACAGTTGTAAGTATGGAATGTTACCTTGATTGTGTTGTGTATGGTCATAGTGTATTTGGAATGATTGTGTGTGTGTGTGTGTGTGTGTGTGTGTTGAGATGATCGTTTGTCAGTTGTATAATGAAATTCTAACGAACACTAACGTTTGACCTGAAGCAGCGAGTTCTGTTGTCAATCAGTATATATCATTAATGTATAATTTTTCTAGTCACAATATCGCTGAATTACTATTGATGTGACTTTAATATTTAACTTGATTAACTCACACTAAGGTTGCTTACATCTTTTGCCATGTAGTTGCACGAAACCAAGGTGTCACATTGCCGAACACTAAAACATACTTATTTGTGATTACATTATGTGACGCTCCAAACCAGTTCTTGTAATTTGAATGCAAGTAATCCATACACAAGTAATCCTACTCATGGATTTTACGCTTTATGGTTTTGGAAAAATATCATGTTTCATAGTTTGAAGTAACATTGTATTATTTACGCATTGAGACACAAACAATGCCAACAAAATAATGTAGGAAACTGCTGTAAGACCCGTTAGACCAAGCAAATGTAAAACTATATCATAGTTTAGTACTGTTTGGATAACTGGTGGTATGCATTGTATTGACAACATTACACATCACCGGTGATATCTGATCATTCAGTTTTATCTTAGGAATATATGAGCCGTGCCTTCCATTTACCATACATAGGGGGCACGGGTGGCCCAGTCGTCTAAGGCGCCGCGATTCGCTGTGCAGAGTTGCGTCCTTTGGGCACGCCAGAAACCTATGATTGTGGGTTCGAATCCCGGTTCGCCCCAATTATGTTTCTAGGTTTGTCAGCACCATACCCGTGCTCGTGGGTTTCACCGAAGTGGTAAACGTCTGAGACCTGCATCACTTCGGGCTTTCCTCCCACATTAAGCTGACACGCCGTGATATAACTGGAATACTGTTAAAAGCGGCGTTAAACCCAAGTCACTCACTCACTCCATTTACCATACAGTATACTACAAGTTTTGAGGACCGTGAAGAGCCGGAAAAGAATAGCTCTACAGCAAAAGGAGACTATGCTTGTCGTAAGAGGCGACTTACGGGATCGGGTGGTCAGGCTCGCTGACTCCGTTGATGCGTGTCATCGTATCCCAATTGCGTGGATCGATGTTCATGATATCAATCACCGGGTTGTCTGGTCCAGACTCGATTATTTACAGACCGCCGTCATATAACTGGAATATTGCTGAGTTTGGTGTTAACCAACAAACCAACTACAAGTTTTGAACATAAATTATTGACATTGTTTTGACGGGAATTCTGTATTACTTACTGCATTACGTTTACATGAAGAATGTGCACTATGTTATAGGACCACGTCATCGTTATAACTTCAATATTATTTTATGTTTAGCTATCGCCGACACATGTCAGTGTCAGATCAATACTGCTAAAGCGACTATTGCTACAGGCGCCAACAAATGCACGTGAGTTCAGCAGTTTGAGCTTTAATAAGAGTTTTCTTATTAATCAACGTAATAACGTAAATGGGCATATGCATCATTTACACAGCTAATAAGAAATATAGTTATACAAGTCGGACATACACAATATACTAATATCATAATGAATGTACGCTTTTACCCGGTATGTGTTTTACATGTAAAAGACAATCAGATTATGAGCTTTTCTATTTGCTTGTGGGTGCAGGAGAAATGCTGTAGACGATATTTTTTCTTTCAACCTTCATTGAGTGACATTGCAGAAATTATTGTAGTGATTATTATTATAATGCCTTTTGTTTTTTGTCTGTTGTGTCGTTGCATGGTATAAAAATTAGTTCTGTCTTTACATCCAAAAGTTTCTTTGGCATGTGCCATCTGTAATTTTCTTGTATGATATGTTGTTCTAACCCGTCGCATTTCACTATGCATAGATGTGCGTCAGAGTCCTTCAGTCCTTTCAAATTCGAATATGACTCTTGGTTAATCAGCACTAAACTAAGTCTCTTGGGTCACACCGCAGAGGTGTTCCCTGAACGTCAAGTTTTTGTAACTATGTACTCGAAGTCCAAGTGAGTTCATGTCGTTATTTGCTTGTATTTCGTCATGTCGTTTTAAACATATGCACCCACCACAAACACTTGATGGAAAGCGCCTATGGTGAAACATGGCATTTATCTCCAAAATTCATTTACACCCTGCAAATACGTATCTTAATACCTTGATTGCACTTCTTTTTCGACCTACTCAAACTCTATGGAGTTTATCCCAAAGATGTACTCAATGTCCAGAGCATTTGTGTTTTATTGCTTTTTACAATATATGGATATCTGGCCCGTACAGACATTGATTGGAAGTGAAGTGTACACGATTGTGTTTAGTGCTTATAACAGTGCGCTGAGCTGCCTGAGAGTGGCGAACTCAAAGACATAGCATGGCACCAATAAAGGTAGTCTGGCCTCGGCTCTATTCATGAAATGACGGAGAAAAAGTTTTTTTCGGAATAACTAACAGACTGGACAGTAAACAAAATTGTACGAACTACGGACCGAAAGCAACAGGACAGGAAGTTCTGGACTCAAGAGGATGTACACATCTCTAGACAAACCATACAAGCATTAATGACTAGTCCACCAAACGGGAACTGCCTGGTGTCAGTTTGCAAAATGGCCCGCGGTGGTAAGCAGCATCGTGAGCCAACCCATATTGCAATACCAAGCCTGAAAGTACATTACCGACTGAAAAGCAAAGATCGACCCATCGACCAGCAGACCTGTTTTTGACAGTAGGATGTAACTGTGACAAAGTGGAAAGACGCCAAGTTCTAACGACCAAACATCCAACCTGAAAAATAAACTTCAGAGAACAGTATATACCATAATGAGTTAGTAAATTCTGTACCAAATAAATACGGATTACTTATCGAGGGAGGGAAAAATGTTAGGCTAAGAAATTATGCTTCCACATGGCCAAGAAAATCAAGAACATTCCCGCCAACCTGACCTAAGCCTCTTTCCCTTAGGCCAGCAAAACACGGCTATCGTTTTACCACGTAACACATCAAGAGTTATACCCCTTCGAACATATGCTATGTTAAATGCCAAGCTATATCAATATGCATCAAATGGATAACTCATCCACGCAAGCACTGAAATAAACAATTTGATCCTCAGATGATAAAACGTATTGCCATTACCATTCAGACGAAATGGCAATTTGGTACGCCCATTTTGGGTAGAACGTGACATATACACACAACGTAAACGACAAAGAAGAGTAGTAAAATAAATGAGACCAAAACATTCTAACAATCAAAAGAAATCTCTACTCTTCTGCAATGTACGGTCCCGAAACAATATTGTTGCAGAGTTCCATTTATCAAATACATTACTCACCTGTTGACTGTGCAGGGTGCTCCCACAAAAAAGACTAATGCAGAAAAATGGCCGTAAGTTGAATATAGTTTAGATATGTGTATACTTATGAGAAATACGGGTTAAACATATTTCCCGTAAACTCAACAGGTGGTAAACAGCAGTTAAATGGATCCGGTGGTCAGACCCGTTGAAGTGTTTGCTTATGTGCCATCGAGCCCGACACCATGGGTCATTTATGGTATCACCAACTGTTTATTTCATTTTGGCCCAGACGATTGGCGATTGTTTACAGGCCGGAGTTAAACAAACAACCTATCAACCAACCCAATACATTGAAATACCTCTTCCCGCATATATTCCCCTGCATGATAAAGACACAGATCATACCTACAACTACTGGCTTACAGTTCTGGAAATCGGGTTGAGCCTTCTGATTGACAAGTATCAGTTTACATACTCATTTGATCGTTTCTACGTATTTATTATAGCGCTTATAAAACTGAGCTGAGTTGTCTGAGAACTGCTCAATCAACCGGCTGTGACGGCACCACGACCAAGAGCGCTATTGCAACGACTTCTGATACAGCAAGAGCAGCACTGTCAGCAAGCGATTGTCCAGGTAGGCACTTTACATTAAGTAATACAGTCCCTTGTGGTTCGTTATAACCATGTTGTACTAAAGATGGTTGTGTATGATCATGTCCCATTTGTCATTTCACAACACTAAAGTTCTTGAAATTCATTTATATAACAGGAAAACTATATACATGTCTATGTCGAAGTACCACTGTAGTAATAGGTTTGTAGAAAAATCTATAAGAAGATATTGGACCTTGCTGTAAAACGTTGTGTTTATTGTCACACCAATACAAAACACGCCATCATATATTCGAAGTACATGCACGTGTCTCTTCGATTCTTCGAACAATGGTTCAGCCTTTTCACAGTATCTCAGTTTAATGTTGGAGAAAATCCATTATTGTTGTATGTTTCTGGCGAAATCCTTTAATTATGTTTATACCTTTGAGCATCTCCTCGGCGACCTTTGTGCGATTGTTTTGAACATGTTCAAAAATTGACGGCGACCATGCCGCCTATGGCGATGTCTGAAGCTCCTTTGCACCACATTGGAATGACCAAGGCAACCATTCGCCTCCTTTGAGCCTCCAACAACGACCTGGCAAATTTTATTGTCAGACACTGGAGACACAAAGGTCGTCATCCTGTGTAAAGGTCCCATAAGGGAGGAAACTCCTAAACCCAAGCACAACTTTTGAATATCTGAGAGTTTTACTAATAAGTAGACTCTACTATCAGAGAGCATTGGTACCCTGTGTTTCGGTGGTATTAATTGTTTCTGTATTGTAACACAGGAGTTTTAAGGTGCGTTTTTACCTATGAAACCCGTAATGAATCTGGGTTAGAATAGGTCTTCAGCAATTCATGCTTGCCGTAAAAGGCGACTCGCGGTATCTGCTGGTCAGGCCCTATGACTTGGCTGATGCATGTCGTCGTATCCCAAGTCCATGGATCGATGCTGATGATGTTCCAGACTCAATTATATACAGACCGCCGTCAAAAAGCTGGAAACTTGCCGAGTGCGGCGTTAAAACAACAAACAACAACATTTAACCTATGTCGTGTAAACTGGCCAGAAAGTATCAATGACACAGATGATGGACCACTTCGTTGAAAAGCAGAGGGTATTATTCTGAATAAAACTAATCAACAGCGAACTGTTACTGGTAAATCGGGAGATATATGGCTCGTTTCCATGTCTATATGCACCAAGGTTAGAACTTGAAATGTAGTTCTATATTGTTGATATATTTGCAGCCCTAACTTCCACGTGCCAGTGTGAGGTCGACGCTGCAAAGGGGGCCGCTGCCACTAGCGCCACATATTGCATGTGAGTGAATTATCATCAATACGTAACATTATCTCATAGCACATCAATGGACAATTGAAATGGGAACTGGAATTTACCCCTTATCGTTCAAGATGTAATCCTATGACTTTGCAAAAAGACCACTTTAGACCACCACATGATTGGGCCGGTGCGACGTTTACGTTTTCCTCATTCACTCTGACATGTCCACACCTAAACATTTGAATAAGTGAATACTTTGCGGAAGAAAATATGATCGTTTCCAACGTATTTATATTATTTCTTTTCCAACAGTGTACTGACTACACTGAAGACTTGCCTCTCTGCCATCACCCCCACTACCGAGGTAGGGTGTGCCAGCACCACCCAGGCAGCTCTTCTGACTGACACTAACACCAAAACAACCAGCGCCATGTGTAAGTAATGTAGTCCCTCAGACCACTGAAATGGAGAGGTGTGAACATCAGTACTGTAACCCTAAACTTTGTCCGCATTATATCCTCGTTCAGCCATCATGCTCGAACGGCATTTCATGTGTTGAAACAAACCAAATCACTAATATAACTTCCGTAGAAATATGAGACGTATACATATAATATACATGATATTCCCAGAGCAAGTTTATGCTTACATAACGTACAAAGTCATATTCAATATTAAATTAAGGATGCTGAGCTCCGGCTTATAGTATGTATTATATTTATATCATGACCTATTGTTTTTCCGTTACAGGTGGGAGTGTTGCGGATCGTGTGACGTTTGCGATGACCTCACTGGTCGTTTCAGTTCTTGTAAACATGTTCCTGTACATGTAGTGGCCCTGAAAGGTTGACACTTCCAAACTCCTGTCCGTTCATTTATAAATAGATGTTTTGTGACTTTTTGTAAAATGCTGGTTGTTGCCATCTCTATTTATTTGCTGTTTCATTTCAATATTCCATCACCAGTTTCAATTTGTATTACTAATATGTGTTTTCCTATATTCGTTTCCAATTGTCAGTGAAAACGGGTTGACTGATTTGAGTATCGACAGATAAAAAAATTTAATGAAGCTTTCCGAAAAAATAGGAAATGTTTGTGTGACCGTTATGTATGACGTGGGCCACACATAACTCATGTAACCACTGACGAACAAAATGGGGTCATTAAATCCTTTGATATGACCGAAAGGGCATCTTTGGTTCCGGTTTTGATAACTCTACGGCTTATATGCTGTTGTTCAATCGTGTAAATCTGTAGGATACTCACATGACTCAACCCACGTGTTCCGTACCCGAATGACGTGTTGAGTTAATCCTTGTTGGTTGTTCCACTGAAATAAACGGTACTGTTCACCAAGTCTACTTGTATGTTTGTTTTTCAAGACCTACAATTGTTGTCACATACTTTTGGTGGCACTAGTAAGCCAGTCACCCGCGCCGAGGCGCCACAATTCGTTGTGGATAGTCGCTTCCCTGAGGTGTTGTAGAGTCATAGGATATAAGGCTTCGAATGTCTGATTTGCAATGATAATGTTTTTTGTTTGTCACTACCATGCACGTGTTTATTGGTTTTGCCAAGTAGTATAACGTCTATTCAGTGAATACTTACTGTTATCCCTGATCAGCACATACAAATATCCAAAATCATTTCAGGAAACATTGCATCAGAATCATTATCATTATTTTGTTAATGTCTATGATTCTAATGGCGTCATCCATTTGTGTTTGGCTCTTGGATTTTCATCTAAAGTAACAGTGTCAGTACTTTGCATATTAAAACACTCGTTGGAAAACCCTTTATATAAAGGATATTAGAAATGGGCAATTAATTACAATAACATGTACCTACAAACTGTAAATGAAAAAATAGATACACATACGCACGTATACATGTGCTTGAGGGATATACATATACATGTGCATGTACAGTTGCAAAACAAATTTGCGTACTTAAGCTAAGGTAACTTGTTCACAAGTCATAAAAAAAATATATACTATACCTCTGCTTTAGGTTTAGATCATGATTTGGTTTAGAATGATAAAATAACAAAAATAAGATATCGAACACGCCTCTAAAGACACTAAATTTAACATCACCTGCAAACTTGAAAGAGTAATATTCAACTTGGATGACAAGACTATCAGTATTACACGCTAGCCGTGTTCAAAGTGTTCTCAAATATGTGTCGAGTCACATGATGGTTAGTTGGTTTGTTTGTTGTTTAACGCCGCACTCACGACAAGCATAGTCGCATTTTACGGCAAGCATGGGTTGCTGAAGACCCATTCAACCCCGGATCATCACGGGTCCCAGTCAAATGTGCGCGAACTGAAGGGATGAACTGAATAATGGCAGTGACGTCACTGCTAACTCAAGATCAGTTTATGGCGTCTCATTACGATTCTTGAAAGTCTATTTTTACACAGCGTTTACACAATGATAATAGCAACTTAATTTAGTGGAAACAATCACGTTTGTCGACTTTGAGACACGAGGAACCAGGTAATCATTCCATACTCGTGTCAGTCATCTCTACATGTTGCATATGAAAGCTTAAATATAAAACAACAACGTCAATAAATAAATGAATGGCGTAAAATGAAAATGATATAAATAGAATATTCATATTAATGACGCCAGGTTTTCGCAAAAAATGGGTAAGCATGACCCGTCCGACCGAAAGCACCCGCAATTCCCACAATTGTCATCTAAAAAGTAAGTGTTTGTCACACAAATTAGACAATCAAGGGGCACAGTCACTTTTTAACTGTATTCTTAAAACTAAATAAATATCTTATTTTGACTTGCTGTGACAAGTGCAGAGATAAGAGAAAGTAAAGAAAAACGTTCATGAAATATGTTCGTTTTGCAACACAGTGGGAACAGTTATATTGTCTCGGCCCAAACACCCATTAATAAATGACTCCGCAGAATTGACAAGTGCTGCTGACCTTATCATTAAACTCGGGGTCAAACAGCAAAAACATTAAAAATAAGTTTAGTTCAATGCACGATCTCCCTCACCATTACATCAAAGTATTTAACACAACAACGACAGGGTTTGTGATAGGGACCAATTCGCCACGTTACTTTCATACGTGTATCTTTCACCGTTAGTGTTGAATCGAGAATAACACCAGGATACACAAGAGGGGTTACAATCAAACAATCTGGCCGCTTGGCATGTGAACCCACTATTATTCTGAAGAGAAACATTAAAATACCATGTAATCTCTCTGATCTGTAGTGCACTACAATATTCCATGTTATCATGAGACGTCCCAGAAAGCGCATCACCTGTTCAGCAAGAGCGACTTAGAACTGATAATCTTAGATAATTTGACACGTATTGTCTTCGCTGCAATTATGCATATTCTTTCGTGCATGAAGTAATAAACACTGTCAGTTTTCCAAGAACACAATACTGTTTCTTCGTTTGGGGATTAAGTGACAGTGCCTCCTTTGAAATGTCTTTATGTCGGATGGTCTCCTTTGCATGTTGCTATACAGTATTTGTTGTTGTGTTTGATATGTTTCATTACATATGCTTTGATTACAATACATGATACCGCCAACGCTCAAGCTCACTCTCACGTGTGCTTAAACTTGTAAATACAAACGACAAACCCATTTCCTTTTTCAACAGGAAAAATACAAACACACGCAAAACAATTCAAGTGTTCACATGAAAAATTCAAAATAGGGAATTACATAATGGAACAATAAATTCGAAACTAAGGCGTCAAATATGGAACTTACATGTGCATGTGCTGCTCTACCTGTACCACCCACCAATCACAATTTAGTATAAATTAACTTGAATTACAACATGGTCTATCTCATCGTATCTCAACATGTGATAAATTGTTTGATCGTTCCAAGCAGATTAGTCTTGTTCCGCCCTTCTCTGAACGTGATGTCGAGAAGCTTTGCCTCTATTTGGATGGATAACAGTTTAAAATGGCTGCAAGGTCAGTGGACCGTTTTGGGGGAAAGCGATTTTAGGGGAAAAACTAAGGAAGTCTATTCTGCCTTACATATTTTTAAGAGTTCTGATTACCAGATTGTTATGTTTTGGTTTGGTTTGTTTGTTGTTTAACGCCGCACTCAGCAATATTCCAGCTATATGACGGCGGTCTGTAAATAATCCAGTCTGGACCTGACAAGCCAGTGATTGACATCATGAGCATCGATCCACGCAATCGGGATACAATGATATGCATCAACCAAGTCAGCGAGCCAGACAACCCGATCCCGTTAGTCGACTCTTTCGACAAAGCCTATGAATTGAAACTTACAGGCAAAAAAGTATAGGTATGCCAGGAAAATAGACTGTCCTACTTTTTTTTAGTTTGCAAGGGTGAAGGAAACTCAGGTGGTGTACCTCACATGAGGTCAAAGGTGATTTTGATGTTTGAGGCAGTTGGTTTTACTGGTTTTACGTAGTCGGTCTGTAAATAATCGAGTCTGGACCAGACAATCCAGTGAATAATATCATGAACATCGATCCGCGCAATTGGAATCGATGACAAGCATCAACCAAGTCAGCGAGTCTGACCACCCGATTCCGTTAGTCGCCTCTTACGACAACGACAAGCTCAGTCGTCTGCGTGTCAACCGACATTCGTAACATATCTTGATGAGCAGAAAGTGGATCACTTACCAAGGGTGCAAATTCTTTTTTTTTAACTCACAGGGATAGTTTTAAGCCATCAGGGTTTACAGGCAGGAGTTCGCAGGATTACAAATCAGGAAAGGATAGTTCATCCCCTCCTAGATCTAGTTCTATAAAGTCCGGTTCTGAGTTTGTTGACAAACAATCAAGTACTACTTCAGTTGGTTCTAAAGACTCTTATGCATTTTCGTGAGAGCCTTATTGTAGATATTGCCGCAAGTCAGGGCATATAATTTCTGAGTGTACAAAGCTCGCTTTCAAAAACAGTCATGATCATTCTTTAATGTCAAGTCACACCTTTTTGTGGTTCGGCTAATGAGGAGTTGTTGTAGAGTGAGTGAGTGAGTGAGTGAGTGAGTGAGTTAAGATTTATAGTCACCTCGGCGGTATTTCAGCATAGTGTGACTACAACAATTTAAACGTACATACGAGAGAGACCCCTAAAGATTCGGGGTAAAATAGGTCTTTAGCAACCCATGCTTGCGTTAAGAAGCGACTATGCTTGTCGTAAGAGGTGACTAACGTGTTCTGGTGGTCAGGCTCGCCGACCTGGTAGATGCATATCATCGTATTCCAATTGCGTGGATCGATGCTCATGATGTAAATCACTGGATTGTCACTCGACTATTGGAATATTGGAGTGCGACCTCAAAAATCAAACAAACAAACAAACAAACATTATTGACCAAGTTAGATATGTCCTAGATCGCACAGGAAGGACTGCTTCAAATCGTGTCTTCATTTCCGCAACAAAATCGGCGTAACTGCTGTTGCAGTCCTTGCAATTCATTGAGTCCGCTTCTCCTATTAAAATTTCTGCTTTTGTTTGTTTTCGGGTCAAATATGCCCCTATATTGGGGTTCAAATTGGGTTGTTATCTGTCGCATTTCTTTGATAGAAATGATCATTGTCGGCAACGTATTGATGATCTGTTATAAACCCCGTTAATTTCTCATTGCTTTTGGTATTTTATAATATACAACGTCAAACGACAGAGGATAACCAATCATGATCATTAGCCGAAACAGATGCAAAATACATAGCGGGTGAACATTAAATGAATGGGTCACTGAAATCAATAGAAAGCATGTATTGTACTGGTCAATTCAGGGAACCCGTCAAGTGTGTACATCTTCGTTTATAATTCCAATGAAAGTTACAACCATTTGAGGCAATGTCTTTTGTTGTATCAAACCAATTATCAGATCAGCTTCATTTCTGTTACCATCATTTCCTACACTGATGTAAAGTAACACTTGCCAAGATTTTACTACCGCTTTGCTCAGGTAATAGTTGTCCAATTTGTATACATATGAGCATGATGCATGTCATCGATCCCCATTGCGTGGGACCCGTGAAGATTCCGGGGTAGAATAGGTCTTCAGCAACCCATGCATGCCGTAAAAGGTGACTATGCTTGTCGTAAAAGGCGACTAGTGGGGTCGGGTGGTCAGGCTCGCTGACTTGGTTGATACATGTCATATATAGAGAATACTACACTCATTCTCGTTAGATACCATTTTTACGAAACGATCGGACTTTCCATGGTATCTGACCGAGCGAAAGCGAGGTCAGATAACATAGAAAGTTCACGAGTTACGTACAAATGGTATCTAGTGAGAATGAGTGTGGTATTTTATTTATTACCATCGTTAAATATGTATGTAAGTGTAAATACATAA